ACTTCTTGGCATGAGCAACCTCCAGAACTTTCCTCTAACCATCATGAGTCATGACTACTTTTGTTCTTTTCATTCTTGGGAAACCCTGTGCTGTTACTGGTTTCTGTTCTTCTGGATAACATGCTGCCATTCATGTTTGAAGTTGATTTCAAAGCATTTATGAGGGTTCTTCAATTCTTTGTACCATGGTTACACAGTTGCTTTATCTAGGAACTGAACTCTTAGGTAGAGACGTAGAGTTATAGTATTATCTTTCTTGTGCTAATGTTTATAGTAGGCAATAATTAGGCAAATTATTATTATTATTATTTATGGGAACAGAAATTCATTGACAACTCAACAAATACAAGGCCAAACTAGGGAAAACGGAGTATATCAAGTGTTGTATTCAATCCTACCCAGTCTTGCTAGACTGCAATGAACCCTTTTGACAAGGATAATATTGAGTTGCATTAATGTTTGGGTTGTTGGTTGTGGATATTAAGTTGATGTCCAACCTTCCCAGAAATGAAATCCTTTAAACAATGCCAGAAAGCCGAGTCATTTTAAACAAGCATAAATATTACTTGATGCAGTTCTTTAGGAAAGTCTGAAAAAATATACTAATTTGAAGAGCTAGCTATATGAGGGGTTTTTGCTGATGTTGTATCATACTTATATGTGTTTGCTTCGAGTACCAGCAATTAGAAAGTACTGCTAACCTGCGGGGGAGTGGGATTGTGGCTGGGGTTTTAACTCGAGACCCCAGCAAATGAACTTCCAACACGAACGTGGACTTTGCCTCGTGTATATGATTTATATCTAGAGTTTCCTTGTCACATCAATCATTCTTGTAACAACATGCGAATGAAAATTCCTATGTAATTTTAACTGTTAATGGCGACAGAATTTACAGGGAAAGGGGGCTGGGTTTCTATTTTTCAATTTTGATTTAAGCACCTTGGCCTCGTTTGGTGTAGCTGCTTAACCAGCAAGTTGGTGAAATTTTGAATCTGGCTTTTTAAGTTGCTCTAAGTTTTGAAAAAGTTACAAATAACTTTCTTAAATACAATTTACAAATGCTGTGTTGTGTGTGCCTATATATATATATACAAAATAAGGATCTATTCATATATAAATCTTAACATACTACACATTTATAAAATTTTAATTATTTATCTATTCATTTTTAATAGTTAAGATTTATTCATATAAATTAAAAATAATTATTTTTTTATCTAAAAATTTATGATAACTTTTAATTATTGAAAGTAAAAAAATGAATGGTTAAGATTTTGTATAAGTGTAGTGTTTAAACTTATATATAAATAAATCTTTCTTCATATATATGTATAGTGTATTTTAATAAAAATAGAATGATACATATATACATATATATATATATACATATAATAATGCATATCAATTACAACTCTTATAAAAATAGATTAATTCCTTTATAGTGGTGCTATCTTATTTTTTTCTTAGGATTTGGTTGAGGTCTATTTTTATGTATTTTACAAGTAAAAATGCATTAATTAAATAGATTTTGCAAAACAATCCATAGTACCCTTAATATAAATTGAAATTTTGTTTATTTAAACGAAGGAAGTTATTGGCAAAATAAACGGATGACGGTGTTGGCAACCAAAAAAAAAAAAGGGCAATGGATGTTGCTGATCGGGGAATACTGGAATAGATCTAATGACAAAGAATGGTAGAGATGAGAGGAGAAAATTGATACCAATAGGGGAAAGAGATAACTTGAAAGCAAGAAGTACTTTAGAGTTTAGACTATAAAACAACACTTTAATTTATAGCAAAACACGACATTATATGTGCCTAGATTCTTCTTAACCCACTGAATTCGCGAAAGCAAGATCTTCCGTCACAGTAGTTAATCACAGAAGAAACCCAATCGCAAAGAACGATAACTACTCCTTTAACCCTTTGCAAGATGATGTGGGTATCATATAAATTTTAGAAATCCCCCTTCAAATCATAATGTCGGCAAGATTTAATCTTCTAAAACACTACTTTCAAATGAATATTTTTAAAACCCACTGTTAGATTTAATTTTTTATTAATATAAATTATCCATATTAATTTTTTAAGTTGATCTATCATTTATAAATAGTAGATAAAAGAATTGTTTTTTAAAAAAAGTATATTTAATGATATTTAATTTTGTGTAATTAATAAACTAATTAGATATATAAAATCAATAAGAAAATTGGTATGGGTGATCTAAATGAATAAAAACATTTGATTCAACAGTTGGTTTTTGAAAATCTTCACTGAAGGATTGTGTTTTTGAAACTAGAATTTTTTACAAAAATGATATAATTATAATATCATATAATATTATAAGTTTACAATATAATATATTATTATATAATTAATTTTTTTCATTCAAAAGTACATCTATGATATATATGTATCTACTTTTTAATGACACATTATATTCATTTAATGACAAATAATAATTACAAGTTTACAATCTTACATAACATTATAATTATATATATACATTATTCCCATATATATATATATATAAATATGACAAATGGACACTTTTTCATAATATATATTATACCAAAAAAGTGGTGTAATCTCACATAAATACGGACTGTATAATTATAACCATTGATGAGAGAGAATATTACACCTGTTGTGCAATCTCACTTGATGTGGACTATACAACCATAACCATTGATGAGGTAGGGCCTCCTAAATGTGGGGCCTTAATAAAACCAATTGTTTTTTTTATTTTTTGTTAGAACAAGGGCAATTTTTGGGGTAGGGGAAGGGAATTGAACCCAACCCTATGGGCTGATGACACACACCAATTTTCAATCGGCCTATGTGTCAGTTGTTAATTTGTTTGGTCAAACTGTAAAACAACATTTTCATATCATATACCCTTAGTAAGTTTTAGGCTTAATTCAATAAGTAATCTATTAATTATTAGTTTAATTTTATTTTAGTTTAGGAAGTTTGTTTTTTTTCTAAATATTGTCTGTAAACTTTGAAGAATATTTCAAATTAATCTACCGTACAAAGTTTCTGTTAAATTTAACGAAAAAGAACAGTTCTTTAAGTCTTCAAAAAGTGATATTATAATTTCAATAAAATATGATGACTCAAGAAATATTTTATAAAGATAGATTAGTTAAAATTCGTAATAAACTAACTACCTCAATTCAAACAGAGAAATTTAGTAAGTTTAAAATGAGAAGTTTAAAAAGTAAGTCTGTTTTACAAGATAAACTATATACAGTCCGCTTTGTAAAATTTATTTAAATGTCTTTAAAAAAATAATATAAAAATAAAATTAAGAATATTTAAATAATTTTATAGGGCGAACTATGTATAGTCTATTCTGTAAAACAGTTTTCTAAAATACATATTTAGCAAAATAAGAATAAAAACTATTTTAGGTTGAATATAAATTTAAGGACTAAAAAATCAAAAGAAATATAGTTAGAGTACTAAATGTTTATTGATAGATAAGAAATGCAGTCCACCTTGTAAAATAGTTTTCTAAAAAACACATTTAGCAAATAAGAATAATAACTATTTTAGGGTGAATATAAATTTAAGAACTAAAAAATGAAAAGAAATATAGTTAAAGTACTAAATGTCTTTTGACAATAAGAAGATTTCCGTTATCTTTAACGGACTAGATGAAATTGAAATAAATGTGAAAGATAATAGATATGATTGAAAGAATTCAAAGATAATAGATGAAACTGAAAAGAATATGAAAGTTAATAAATGATTTATTAAATTAAGCTATAAGTTTTGTATTACAGTAGACTTCAAGGTGCATTTTATGTATTTTCATTTGTATGAGATTTAGTTAGGTGTTTATTTATTATAAATTATTATATTACCAAAAAAATTTATTTACTATAAAAATTGGCTTATCTTTTTATTTTCATTTTTATTTACAATTATACTAAAAACCCTAATTCTTTTTTATCTTTTTCAGGACAGGTAAAATTGAAATACTGGCATTTAATATCTTATTAAAATAGAAAGTGAGACAATCAAATTAGATTGAAGGGAGTACTAATTAACTAAAAATATATATTAAATTATTTTTTAATAATTGTTAATTTTAAATGTAATAATTTATTAAAAAAAGTTTAAATGGTAGATATAAAAGAAGATTTTAGTGTGTAAATTTTTATTTTTTTATTTTTAAGACACAAGAACAAATTTTCATAAAAATGACATCCAAAAATTTAGCAAAGGATGTATATTTTGATTTTTTTTAATTAGTATTTTATTACAAACCAAATATCACTGAATATTTAAAATGTTAATAAAGATATTTTCATCATATTTAATCATGTTTTAGTAATTTACCAAAAACAAAAAAAGAAAATCATGCTTTAGTAAATTATTATATATATTTTTTTATCTTTCAATACATTATAATTTGAAAACACAATACAATGCTAGAATAAGATTGTCTTGTGATCAATTTATTGATTGTTTGAAAATTAAGGTCCATTGCAACCCAATAAACAAAACAAAACAAAAGAGCAATAAAGAATTACTAGAAGCAATGAAAGAGTAAAAAATAAAGCAAACAAAGACTGGTGGAATAGGAAGGGCAGACCAATGGTATATATAGATAAATAGTTAGTATAGATCCATAGGAAGATTCAATTCTTGAAGAATAAGATATCAACTCCTACTCAAGATTGAATTATTTCAGGTTTTTTAGTACTATGGAGTTATTAATTTGCTAAATATCAACTTTCCAATAATTAGTACTTTGGAATTATTAATTTATTATTTTATATTTTCTAAAAGAAAAGTGTTTATTGGGTAGACCAAAAGTGTTTATTGGGTAGACCAATAAAAAATTAAGAAGAAAAACTTTCAGAACTATGTCATTTCAAAAAATTCTCATCGTAAAAGAATAAAATAACTTATATTTAAAGCATGGATGAGACTATTTTGTTCTTTTCTTAATATTTTATTAAAACAATTTAGTTTTTTAGTGTTTTTCTTCTAAATTTACCAATCTCTTTTTTCTTTTCTTTTTCTTTTTCTTTTTTTAATTATGACTAGTGAGATTAATAAAATAGGAAGAAAGAAGGGTCTAATTACGTAGCATAACTAACAGATCTACACTTAACAATCTGCAAGTCCCACAACTATATTCTATAACTATATATTGAATTAATTTCTTATTTTCTATTACTTTCCTAATTTAAACGTCCCACACCCTTTATGCTAGATTTAAAATACATTTTAATATGTATCTTTTATAACCCATTAGTATTTATTGAGGATTTTTTTTTAAAGTCCATTAATATCTATTTTTTTTTTTTTGAGAATTTAAGAGGAAATTTGTTGTTATGACAATTTAATTATATACTTAATTTTTAAATTAGATAAGATAAGATTTTATATATTGCTTTCTTTGATCTGATTTAGTTGTTTCAATTTAACCTTTATTCAAGATTTGACTAAATGATTTTATATAATTAATATATAATAATTAAAATTTTTTTCTTTCTATATGTAATTCTTGTTAAATATTTTATTTAAATAAAAAAACATTAATTGTCATTTATTTACTATATAAAATCATTAAGTTAATTTATATAAAATTGAGGAATTAAGACAACTACAAAAAACCAAAGAGAGAACAACTACTCTCTTTATCCCAAAATATCGGTTGCTTTTAATTTTTTTTTTCCAAATTAAGGATTTAAAAACAAGGGACAATTTATGTGTTTTCTTACATTACCCTTAAAAGATAAATACTAAAAGATAAAGAAAGGATCTTTTGTGATATGATAATAATTAAAGTAAAAGAATAACAATAGGATTAAAGTAGGAAAAAAATCTTTGTCTACCTTAAAAAATAAAAAATAATTAATTAAAGACCAATTCCAAGTAAAAAAATAATTATTATTTTGGGAGGAAGGAAATATTTAAATAGATATGGGTAAGATTTGAAAGAAGTGAAAAATTGAATAAAAGAAACAAAGAGAAAATCTAGGATTTTCATAGCTTAGATGTGGAACAGGTTATCCACCAGCTAACGGTCATGGAGAATGGAGAAAGTGGAGCGAAAACCATAGAAAACTTCTCCAACATCAAGGTAAAAGGGAATAATGGGGGAAAAATCATTTCACAAGCTTGCCTCTCTTAGAAAATTGCCTTGTGTGCATCAATATCAATTTCAAATCAATTTAGTCAACCTTTAGCATAGTTTCTAGATTGTAATTCAAAAATTTGCTCTTATTCATAGCTTTAGTTTGAATCTTTTATTTTATTAGGGGCCTACCCTTTTCAAGAATTTGCCCAACATATCCTTAGATCAATTTACAAAATTAAGCAATTTGCAATGTGTTTTCCAAATAGAAGCTTTGAGACCAAATCTTACTTCATCTTCTTGCTTAGCTTTTGTTGTTTTATTGTAATTAATTTAGTTTCTAAGATTAGAGACTATTTCTCACATTTGTATTGTAATCAATGTATGTTCTTAGCCACTCTGTATAATAAAATTTATTTGTTTTGCTGACAAAAAAAAAAAAATGTATGTTCTTAGACTTCTTAATTTCTTCTCATGAACTCAGTCTACAAATCCATCATTTTTAAATTCTAGATCTATTAGTGTAGTTTATTTGAATTTTACAATTGTTTTCAAGTTATGTTAAAGAAATCATGTTTCTTTATACTTCAAAACTCCTATTTACTTCCCTCTCTTCTTTAAGTTTCTACAATCTGATTTGCAAGTAGATAATCTAGTTTATAATGTAGCTTTTCCTTTATGCCTACAAATTTATTTCAATTTACAAGTATAGTTTGTTAGTCTTTGTAATTCTAAGTTAATGTGTAAGTTTGTCATCCTTTTAGTCTAGTCTATGATTTAAGTATGTTTTATAGCACTTTTTAGCTTTTATCTATCTTTTAATTATTATGCCTTTAGTTTCTTTTTAGTTGACTATGTTTTAGTTGTTATGTCTTTCTTCCTTATGTTATGTCTTTCTTCCTTATTAACAAACACACTTGATTATCTCTTAAGTTCTTGATGATTTTTTAAGGCATCATTTTTAATTCATTTATGTAGGAAAGCATCCCATTTCTACCAATTGTTTGGTCTAGGGCGCATCGCTTTATAAAACTAACATTCTTCCAATTGTCTAACTCGAAAGTGGATTGCTTGGAGAAATAAAGTCATCTAGAAAGTTCTTTTCTTAGTTTTGCGACAAAGCAAATGACATACCTGATTACATCTGTCAACAGGCAATTAATGGGAGGATTTTTTGGGAAAATAGTTTCTAATCATGGCTTTTATATAGATTTCATTAGGTTGCTATTAGATATGATTTAAATTTTTGTCTAATTTAATGAGAATTACATTATTTTAAAATTATTTTTTTATGTGATACCAGATTGTTTGCTTAGATTACTTTGAAGGTTATTCCTCATGAAAACATCAATCTCCCATCGGCTCAGAATCCCTGAAAACTTAGGTTAAATATTCCTTCCATATTGTCTTTAATAATTTATGTAAAGGTGCATAAATCAAAATTGAAAAATAGAGGAAAAAAATCAACCAAAAAATAGAAAAGCTTCCATTCTTTAATATTCCCTTCTGCCCTGTGAAAATCTGTTTCATTCAACAGTTCAAGTACATAGGAATTTTATTTATTTATTTATTTTTGGCCATCCATAAGAATTTTTATTCAAATGCTGCCACAAGAGTGATACAACAAAGAAATTCTAGTCTAGATATAAATCATATACATCAGGCAAACACAAACAAGAACACAAAATGTCAAACAACAACCGCAGCAAAAACCCTTGTACACTCGGAGCAAAACGGAAATAAATTCAGTTGATCAAGTTCCAACCAGCTTTCCAGAGTAGTCTGTTTTGAGACTATTGTTGTTCCAAATATGTCTATCCAAGATATACGTAGTAGTTGGCCTTGCCAACCTACAGAATTGCATCATCCGATATTATCCTTGTTTATAGTGAGTCGCTTCCAGGCATTGTTTAAAATATTTCGTTTCCAGCAAGGTTGAATATCAACTTAATATCTGCAACCATTTCCTATAAACCAAAAATTTAACTGTTCAATTACGGAGCAATATTCATCAAACATCATCACTTGTGATGCTTAACATGAGGGTAGAGTCCCAAAATATGTTCTGGCATGAAGTCGTGCCGCGTCAGTATTCCAACAATTGGAGGCCTCTGCAATGATCAAATAAAGAAATTAATAACAATTTTTGGTACAATCAACATGTTAAAGCTGGAGTTTTCAACTTAGCATAGAGCACAACAAAATCAGACAGGTTAAATACTAGTGATAAAAGCATGAAAAAAATGATGGATAAACTGCCATAAAATAGAATGGAAGAAAACGCCAGGAAGTAACTAAGTGGACAAACTACTAAGAGACAGAAAATCTCACCCCCTGGCTCTTCGGAACCACACACATGTGCCTAAGACCAAGTTGACGAAAGAGAATTGCAGCTTTGGCAAGTGACATCGTCTCAACCACCGTGTATGGAGATGTATTGACAATAGGATGAAGATCCACATACATATCCATCTCCTCCTCTTCAATATCTATGTCCTCCAATTTGATTCCCTTCCCTGAGCCTGCCTTGGCAAAATCAAACACCGCAAATTTATTTAATATCTCATCTCCTGCAAGTACCCTATGTCTTGAAAAAACTTTTCCCTTGAGCAACACAAGCAAATGAGACCGTAAAACAAGTCCACATAATTCAGGAGCATCTGAAAATGGTGGTTCATCAATCACAGGGAACCCATTATGCCCTGTAGTTCTCAAGGCATGTAATATGTTTCTCACCTTCTCAACACCAGAGAAGGTGACCAGAGGTCCTGTAACAGCATCAAGGGCCACCAATTGCCTCATGTAAGGTTCTGCATGTGCTTCCATGTAAGGCAATCCTTTTATTTTCACTATTTGGTCATAGACACCCTTGTTGAAGCAATCAGCAACAGATTTTGATATGAGGAGAACTAACATTACTAGGGGAAGCAACAATAAGTCATTAGTGAGCTCCAACAGTATAACACAAAGGGAAACCGTCATCCTCATCGTGCCACCAAGAAGTGAGGCTGCTCCAAGGAGAGCATAGAGACCTACATCAAGTTTAGAGATGGATGCAAATAGTCTTCCAACAAGACGACCATAGCATGCACCAGCAAGTATGACAGGGATAAAGAGCCCAGAAGGGATAGCTATCCCATAAGTGATAATGCCAAGACAGTAAACAGCAGCAAAGAAGATCAAGAGGGAGGAAATATGAAATTCTTTCTCGGTATTGGTGCTGACTAGGTTGCGTATGGCATCATCATTAGTATTCAGAAAGAGTGATGCAAGGTCATTGTAATAACCTGATGGGCACTGAAAGCTTTTATAGTTGCCAGATACATCTGTATTAGGGCAGCTTGTCGATTGATCAGTTGGGCAAGGGATGCACGTTGCCAACCATGGCAAACCATAGGAACAACATGATGTCAACAGGGAGATGGCAACAACTAGTAAGATTTTGAAAGCAGGTCCTCTTCTGCAGAAGCAAAAAACCAGTGTTAGCAGGATTTAGCATCAAATGAAACATCAGTAATAACTTAATTATAAATTACAGCAATAGAAGGCATTTTCTAAAAAGATGAGAGAGCTGTGTGCTTTTATCTGGCAAAAGAGGGGAAAAGGGCAGAAGCAAACCAACAACTGGTAGATTCTTCATACCATCATGTCACTAACAATATCAGCAGTGACCTATTCTTAGATAAATAAAATGCCAAGATCCAGAATTGAATGGATGACATACTCATTAATGATGCTATAATTGCGAACCACCTTATCCACAAGATAATTATAAAGGCTTCCAAAAATGCCTCCAATAATTCCTAGCAGTGTTGCTGCCAATATATCTGGCCCGTTATATAGAACCTTGGCTGAACTGACATCATACATAATTAGACCTCCTTCCCCAAACAACCCACAAACTCCAGTGGCGCATAACTGTATAAAAGCTCTCAAAACTATAGCAACAACTGCTGTTGTGAAAAATGTTCTCCAAAGAAGAGCACTCCTCCACCTGAAGATGCCCAAAGGAGAAAAGAAAATATCTATGATTTTCATGACAGAAAATGAAATCTGTAAACATGCCTATATAAACAAAATGTCCAGGTAATGTTCGATGAGGATAAATAAAATCAAAACATCCCAGCAACATATCAGAAATCATGGTACTTCACTCATTTTCCAGTAATGTCTCAAGGAAAAAAATGTATTGGCTTACAAATAACTCTGCAAAATAATACTGTTTCAGTTTTTTGGGGTTGAAATATTATTTTAGCCCTGTTCACTTCATATGGCAAAGACTAAGCATTTCAACTCTAATTTAAATATTTCAAATTTTGTGAAGCTTTGATCTTCTATCTTCATGCCTCATGAAATGTTAACAACTTCTTCCATTTAAACCATTAAAGGGCAAAAAGTTATGGCTTAAATTGCACATGGCAAAACTATTGCAGTAAATTTGATAGATTTAGACATCATACAGCCCATCAAATCAACAAGCTGCAGTGGGGCAGCCACTGCAAATAGTTGAAGGGAGGGGGGCTGGAGGCTTGGAGCAGGTCAAGAAAAAGAAGAGCTCATGTCTAGAGAAAAAAACTAAAAGGAGCAGGTACCAAGATGCTGCTTCCTCAAGGGCAAAGAGGACACCACCAACTGGAGCACGAAAGGCAGCAGCCACACCAGCAGCAGCTCCACAAGTGATCAAGTCTCGCCTATCCCTATCATTTTTGAAGTACCTTAGCCATTTCCAAGTCAAGTGGTACTTGCGAGAACCCCCTTGTCCAAGTAAAGAAGCTAAGCAAGCGCCTGTATGAACCATAGGCCCTTCTTTGCCAACAACAAATCCAGCAGATACGCCTAGAACGGAACCAAAAATCTGCCAGAATTGGAATGGTAAATATCATAAAGATTCCAAGAATTTTCTTAATAAGCAACACTAAGTTGTTCCATTTTTATAAACTGCAGAGCTTTTTGCGAGTATAATTTATTAAATAAGCAAGAATGGTGGACATG